AAAAAAAATTCAGCCGGGTGCGCTAGCTCATGCCTGTAATCCCAGCATTTTGAGAGGCAGAGGCAGGAGGCTTGTTTGAGCCCAGGAGTTCAACACCAGCCTGAGCAACATAATCAGACCTTGGCTCTACAAAAACATTTTAAAATTAGCCAAGCCTGATAGTGCGTGCTTGTAATCCCAGCTACTCTGGAGGCTGACGTAGGAGAATCTCTTGAACCCAGGAGGCAGAGGTTGCAGTGAGCAGAGATCATGCCACTGCACTCCAGCCTGAGCAACAGAGCCAGGCCCTGTCAAAAAGAAAAAAAAAAAGATTGCCTAGCTGGGTTTGGTGGCATGGCCTGTATTCCCAAGTACTAGGGGAGGCTGAGGTAGTAGGACTGCTTGAGCCTAGGAGTTCAAGAGTGCAGTGAGCTGTAATGGCACCTATAAATAGCCACTACAGTCCAGCCTGGGCAACATAGTGAGACCCAGTCTTTAAAAAATATTCCCCCATCCAAACCCAATAGAGTGTCACGTTGTCTGACTTTAAGACAGCATGTTTATTTTTCCCCACTACCATCCCCCCCTTTTTTTTAGACAGGATCTTCTGATGTGGCACAGGCTGACATGCAGTGGTGCAATCTCGGCTCACTGCAACTTCCCCACCAGGGCTCAAGCGATCCTCCCACCTCAGTCTCTGGAATAGCTCGGACCACAGGTATGCACCACCACACCTGGCTAACTTTTTGTATTTTTAGTAGAGACGGGGTTCTGCCATGTTGGCCAGGCTAGTCTTGAACTCCCGGCCTCAAGTGATCTTGCCTCGGCCTCCCAAAGTGCTAGGATTACACGTGTTAGCTGAACCCGGCCAGGATTACTTTTTTAAATCCAAGTACATGATGTCTTCTTATTTGTTCAAACTTTCCTTTGAATCTTTCAAAAGTTTTTGGTTTTCTTCATATAGACCTTGTGATTTCTTAAGTTCAACCTTAGATATTTCATCTCTCTTGTTCTTAAAAATTGTATCTTTTCCTCAATTGTATGCTCTAGCTGGTTTTTGGGGAAAAAAGGAATGATAAATGCAAGTACATAAAAATAAAATTTTGCGTGACTAAAAAGTGAAAACAAAGCCAAAACATCTGGGAAAAATATGTTTGCATTACATCTGAAAAATGACTAATTTTACTAATATGTAGAGTTCCTGAAAAAGAATGCTATTCTGGTTCTTTAATGATGTGTAAGAAATATTCCAAAACTTAGTAGCTTAAAACAACCACCATTTTGTTATAATTCATGACTTCATTGGTCAGGAATTTGGGCAGGTTCTCAGCTGGGTGATTCTTCTGCTCCACAAGACACATCTATGGCTTTGGTGTGTATCTTTGGAAAACTGGCCTTAGCTGGGTCCCTATCTCTATGTAGTCTCAGCTCTCACCACATGGTTTCTCTAGAAGGGTAGTATGCTTTCTTATATGGGGGATTAGGGGTCTAGCAAACCAAGGCTGAAGCTACCAGCACTTTTTCTTTTTTTTTTTGAGATGGAGTCTCACTCTGTCGCCAGGGTGGAGTGCAGTGGTGCAATCTTGGCTCGCTGCAATCTCCGATTCCTGGCTTCAAGCGATTCTCCTGTCTCAGCCTCCCATAGTTGGGATTACAGGTACGCACCACCACGTCTAGCTGATTTTTGTATTTTTAGTAGAGACGGGGTTTCACCATGTTGGCCAGGATGGTCTTGATCGCCTGACCTCTTGATCCACCCGCCTTGGCCTCCCAAAGTGCTGGGATTACAGGTGTGAACTACTGCACCCAGCCGCTCTACCAGCACTTTTAAAAGCCACGCCTGGGCCGGGCACTGTAGCTCACTCTTGTAATCCCAGCACTTTGGGAGGCTGAGACCGGCGGATTACCTGAGGTCAGGAGTTCAAGACCAGCCTGGCCAACATGGCGAAACCCCATCTCTACTAAAAATACAAAAATTAACTGGGCATAGTGGCGGGCACCTGTAATCCCAGCTACTCAGGAGGCTGAGGCAGGAGAATTGCTTGAACCCAGGAGGCGGAGGTTGCAGTGAGTGGAGATCGCACCACTGCACTCCAGCCCGGGTGACAGAGCGAGACTCCATCTCAAAACAAAAAACAAAAAACAAAAAAAAACCCCAAAATTAAAATTGGCAATGGATGTGAGCAATCAGTTTGTAGCAAAGGAAATAGGAAAGTTCTTTAAACATGAAAAGACGCCCAGCTTCACTCATAAGAGAAAGGTTACAGTCAGAATATGTCATAAAAGAAAAGAAAGAGAAAAGCAAACCAAACTACACTGAAGTGCTATTTCCCTTATTAGTTTGGCAATGATTAAAAAATAGTGGTACTGTAAATTATTAAGCTCTATTTCTAGGTACTTATCCTCCATACAAACTTACATGTGTGGTATAATGTAATCATCACAACATTGTTTAAAATACCCAGATGGGAAGCAACCTAAATGTCTATCAATAGGGACTACTATAAATTACTGCATCTTCATAGGGTGTAATTCTATGCAACTGTTATTAAGATTAAAGTTCTCTGTGCCACGATATGAAATGATATCCAATATACATGATGAAAAAAAAGGAAGGTATAATGTGCTTGAGATTTACTTCAAAATAACTCAGGGGAGCCAGCAGGACCAGATCTCAGATAAGGCAAGCCTAAGGATTTAGCATAATTGTAGGAATCACAATCACATGTACAAATACAAGCTTTGAAAAGT